GACACTAAGATTCGCAACTTTAAAAGAACCAGCGGTATCAGGGAGAGGGTAAATACGTCCCTCACACCGCTTGAGTAACGCCTGAAAGGCAGCCTGGAGGTGAAACTTAACCACAGCACAGTTGCCCTGAAGCAGCTGGACGCCCACTAAGTCCGACAGCTGCACATGTAGCACGTCTACGAGGGCGACACCAACCAACTGATGGTCCACCGGCACCGTAAATGCCAGACCAGCCGACAATGTCCTCTCCACTGGAGGTCGAGAAGTCCCCATGACAAATCCAAACATCACCCTGTAAGTGGCAAACTACCGCCACTAGGCAGGGCAACCAGCAATCGTCCAAAGTAAACACAAGCCAGGAGCGGAGAGACCTCAAGATCATCAGACCCGCCGATGGTCGCCACTCAACTCTCAGTCATAAAAATGTTTCTTGACTCCCAATAAAAAATAAACAATTAGATGACAGAAAACTGGACTTCTTATTTTAAGGTAAACTTTGGTGCGTGAACCTCAGGTCCTCATTTTATATATACTGGGTGGCCTATATATGGTGCCTTAATTAACTAATTATGCTAACTACAAAAGTTTTCTGCGCCACAAGTTGACGCCCAGGTTATACCCACTGATCTTCCCACATAATATTTCCTAATAAATATCAACGAACGTATTATATATAAATATTATGTATTAAAATATTAAAATAACGATCAATATGGAACAATAAAGTTTACCCAAAACTTTCAGAAAATGGTGAAAGTATTTAGAACCTTCAATACATTTTACATTACATGTTATGTAAATAAATAAATATCAATAATTTTCAAACTTAATATAATCATGAAAATAAAGTTATAACAGAATCAATAGTCAAATTAAAATCGGATTTTAAGATTAAAAAGGATTATATAATACACGATACTTTGAATAAAAGTCGAAAAATAAATCCTCTTTATTGTTTTTTCATGCTGTTTTACTAACTGTTTTCTACTCTGAATACCGGTTTTTTTACTTTGATTTTTAAGGCACAAGGTTGCCATTATTGACGTAATATAAACACATCATAGTTTACACAAAAATATCTCGACACCCCGCTTCATTGAATACATAAACTGTGGTTGGTCAGCAAGCTGTTGTTGTTATAGATTCAGCTACTCGGAACAAGTTCCAAGTAGCACGGGCTATGGTGAGCCTGTAACTTACCTGGCACAGGAGCGGGGCAAGTAGCACGGGCTATGGTGAGCCCGTGGTGGACTTACCTGGCACAGGAGCGGTGGTTGGTCAGAAAGCCTTTGTGGAGGCTTTTATATCACTCCGGAAGGAGTGTTATTAAGGCCTATCATCCTCTGGAAGGTTATTATATCCTATCACTCTCTGTAGGGTTATTATGATCTATCACCTTCTGAAGGGTTATTTAGTCTTATCAACCTCTTGAGGGTTAATAAAGCCTATCAAGCTCTGTAGGGTTATTAAGAATATCAACCTATTGAAGTTTATTAACGCCTATCACCTTCTGGAGTTATATAAAGACCTATCAAGCACTGCAGAGTTATTAAGGCCCATCAACATTTATAAGGTTATTAAGGCCTATCATGATCTGAAGGGTTATTAAGGCCTATCAACATCTGAAGGGTTATATAAGGCCTATAAACCTTTATAGGGTTATTAACGCCTATCAACATTTGGGGTGTTATTAAGGCCTATAAATCTTTATAGGATTATTAAGGCCTATCATGATCTGAAAGGTTATTAAGGCTTATCAAGATCTGAAGAGTTATTAAGGCCTATCAACATCTGGAGGGTTATTAAGGCTTATAAACTTGTATAGGGTTATTAAGGCTTATAAACTTGTATAGGGTTATTAAGGCTTATCAAGATCTGAAGGGCTATTAAGGCCTATCAACATCTGAAGGGTTATTAATGCCTACAAACCTTTATAGGGTTATTAGAGCCTATCAACATCTGAAGAGTTATTAAGGCCTATCAACCACTGGGACGCCATCAGTCCCCATGGCAAAGTGGTAACACTTGCCTGGTGCTTTGCGAGCGCTTTGGCCTGGGTTCGTATCCTGGGCGGGGAGTATTGATTGGGCGTCATTCCTTCAACTGCAGCTTCTGTTCACCCAGTTGTGAATGGATACCTGATTGTTATACGATTTGGCAGGGTCGTATTCCAATTAACACGTGATGAAAAATGTAACAGTGTCAGACCACGGAGGAACTATCGCGCATAGCGTCTTGGGCCGGTCCTCAATCCTAATTTTGCCTGGATTACGACTCGCCAAATCGTTTAACAACCAGGTACCCATTCATATACGCCCCGTCAATCCTCACCATCTGGTCACCACTTGGTCCGGGAGACATCTCCCGTCACGCAGGGTGCAGTCGCACCTCCACAGATCTCCAGTATCAGCTCTTAATACTGGTAATGGCTCAAAAGGGCCACCACTTACGGGCTATTCATGCCCGTGCCACCTCTTGGGTGGCTTAATCTTCATCATCATCATCATCCGTCAATCCTTGTGGCCAGGATACGAACGCAGGCCGTAGCGCTAGTAAAGCGCCGGGAGAGTGCTTTACCACTGTGCTACGAAAAATATTTCCTGTTTATCCCCGGTTAAGTTTATTTCCTTTGGGTGCTTGCGAGAAAAACATTTTTGAAACAAAATTATCTGCGTTATATCAGAGAACCCAATTTATATTAATGTTTCTTTTCGGTTATATTGTCAGTGTTTTATTGCGATTATTTCTAGACCAACGAAATCATGTTATCTGTAATACAAAAGTTTTTTTGTTATAACCACGTTTAGTTGGGTGTTGGACTTAAGGCGTGTCAATATTTGGCGAGTTATTAAGGCCACCATAGTAGCCTACTGACCAAGCAGCAAGTATAGACTATTCCTGGTAATAGTCCAGGACTAAAGTAAACTGTGAGTGTATACACCGAGTGGCGGGTACACCTCCTGGTGTAGCCTAAAGCCGTCTGGTGGCTCTTGTGTTACTCTTCTGAAACGTGATCGAGATGTGTGGCCTTATATATATAAAAAATACAAACTTTATAATCGTTCCCTCTGTAATTGTTTATAAATAAAATGGTAATAGTAATAATACACAGAGTAATCACAATAGCGTGATATATCAATGAGAAAGTCTGTATGAGCTGTGGTGAGGATTCGACTCAATGCGGTGGTCGTTCACAAGCACACATACTGGACAACGATATAGATGTTGTGTCCTAGTTCTCTGAGGCGTGTGCCTGGGAACACCCACCACATGGGTTCGAATACTCATCACGGTTCCAATAGATTTTCTCAATATTAATTATGATATTTTCGAGACAGAAGGAGTCCAGCATGAGGTAAACAACACGGAAGCTCCCCCGGGACTGTTCCATCAGTGACTGGTACAAAGGTGACCCAAGTGGGGGAGGGAGGAAGTGGGACACACCAAGGTTGTGCAGACGAGGAATTTTATGGATAAAAAATATTGCCAGAGCTTAACCCAGCTGGTGGCAGCTTGGTCACAGTACAGGAGGCCGAGCTGCGGGAGGCCAGTTTGGCGTCACATTAAGCCCTTGGTACAGTAATAGTTGTACATTAACTTCTTGACAACATTCACCCAAACACTAAAAAGGAATGTTGTCTTGTGATGTGTTGGTTGTATGAGGTTGTGTTGTAGGAGGGTTTGTGACCCCGTGTTGTGTGTGTGTTTACTAGTTGCGTTTACTAGTTGTGTTTTTGCGGGGGTTGAGCTTTGCTCTTTCGGCCCGCCTCTCAACTGTCAATCAACTGTTTACTTTTTTTCCCACACCACACACACACACACACACCAGGAAGCAGCCCGTGACAGCTGACTAACTCCCAGGTACCTATTTACTGCTAGGTAACAGGGGCACTTAGGGTGAAAGAAACTTTGCCCATTTGTTTCTGCCTCGTGCGGGAATCGAACCCGCGCCACAGGATTATGAGTCCTGCGCGCTATCCACCAGGCTACGAGGCCCTACATATGTGTACATGGGGGGAAGCGAGGATGCAGAAAGCTTGAGCTGGGAACTGGAGACAAGGATCACGCAGTCTATTATGGTTGTTGATCTGTTTGTTGTAGTGTGGAGGAATGTGACGTGGCTGTGGTATTATTTTGTAATCGTGAGTATTTGTCTGTCACTTGACGTCTCCCAGAGTACATTTATCATTCGTATAGTTGTCCTCGTATGGAAGCTTTCACTCACGGAGTTGTCCGGCCTCGAGTGAATGATAACTGTCCAGCGATGCGCTCTGTTCTGGTCACAAGGCATAATGCTCTTTGGGACTGACTTGGCTGCTAGGGAATGTACGATAGTACCTCAAGTAGATCAGTTGGGTTCGTTCCAGAGTCATAATCGGGAATCCAGTGTTCGACTTCCAGGCAGTACACAAATGTTTAGGCAAATTTCCTGTCACCTAACGCCTCCGTTCACCTAGCTGTAAATAAACACCGGGAGTTAGCTAACTTGTTATTTGGTTTTCCGACCCTGGTGGTCCCAGATATACGCCTAACATATATGTGTATAAACGGGCTGCCTGTCCCCCACAACAATGAATGGAAGGATGAGAGCCCTGCGTTATAAACATAAGTCTGAGGCGAGTCTGTAACGTTTGCACTCTTGCTATAAGATCAAAATCAAAGATATTTGTTCAGTAAGTTATGAAGTAAATGCCGTCAGAGTGGGTTGCGTCGACGCTCCCGTGATGTACCGGAAAGGCAGACCAGCGATGAGACGTTGCTTGAGTGACGTCTTCAAGAGTCGATTCCTTATTTTCTGCTTTGTAGCAGACTTAAAAAATTAATAATACAATTAAATACAATGAACCACTTTCCACTTTCCAAGGACCGTAGAGCAAGTAAGCAGGGGATGGAAGACAGGGGCGAGGATGCAGAAATCTTGAAGTAGGAACTGGAGACAAGTCGAAGAGGGGAGAAAAAGGTCGGCGGCCCAGCCACTGTGGATAAGACTTGCAGCTTACACTGAGGGTTGGTGGTAGGGTGGAATTCACATGGTTGCTCGCTGATGGGTCTTGCAGGAGGCCGGGGTTCTCGTCGCGGATCTGGTGGAGTTCCTCGCTATTACATTTCGTCATTGGTCTTAATTTTCTTGATGATTTTTTCAGGCTCGGATCGTCGGTCTTCTTCTTCTTCCTTGGCCTCCTGGCCCGTCCGTTGGTCTGGCTACGTGTTGTCATGGTGGTGCCATCGTTGGAGGTAGTATCCAAAAGGAAATCTTCAGTTGAGTAGGGGTACTTCCGTGGAGATGTTGATCCAGCTGAGAAAACCAGAAAATCGCAGGTCCCAACACAACTTCCCCAGAGATGAGGGGGAACCCACAACCAGCAACCCAGTAGCACCAGAGGGGGAGGGCAACTTCACCACCCTCCTCTGCATAGAAATGCAGAGGAGGGTGGTGACGGTTCAACTCCCCCACTCAAATGCTCAGCCATGTCTCCCTCCCCCCACACACCATTCCCACCCTGCTGCCCCTTCCCTCCTCCCACCATGTCCCCCCCTTCCCCCTTTCCCTTCCTGTCCTCCTTTCTCTTTCATCCCATACCCTCCCTGGCCCCCCTTCATTTGACCCACCCCCACCCCTCACCCCAATATCCTCTGAGACCCTGTTATCCACCTCACAAATCCTCACACCCATGGAACAGCCTCCCCCCATCAGTAGAACGCTCACCAAGGAGGCGATATGAGAAGGGACAGAAGAAAGTGAGTTTCAAGGCAATGTACACTAACATAGATGGAATTACAAATAAAGCAAACGATCTTGGAGAATGGGTACTAGAAGAAAACCCAGTTATAATAGTACTCACAGAAACAAAGCTAACGAAAACCATAACAAATGCAGTGTTCCCACAGGACTACTGTGTTGTGAGAAAAGAGAGAGAAGGAAGAGGAGGTGGTGGTGTAGCATTGCTGGTAAGAAAAGGCTGGGTTTTGAGATGATTATTGAGGCCTGTGAAGGCTTCAGTGACTACATAATAGGTACCATAGCAACTGGAGGACAAAAAATTATAGTCGTAATCATATATAACCCACCACCAAATGACAGAAGACCCAGACAGGAATATGATAGAAACAACATGGCCACCATTAACATAATAGAGAGGGCAGTTTCTGTCGCTAGCAGGAATAGATCTGGACTATTAATCATAGGAGACTTCAACCACAGGAAGATAGATTGGGAGAACAGAAACCCACATGGAGGACCAGAGACATGGAAAGCTAAGCTGCTGGATGTGGCAACAAGAAACTTTCTAAGCCAACACGTCAAGGGACCAACAAGAATGAGAGGGGAAGATGAACCAGCAATGCTTGCTCTGATATTTACCCTAAATGAGTGGGATATAAGGGAAGTTAGGTTGGAAGCACCCTTGGGAATGAGTGATCACAGTGTATTGATCTTCGAGTGCCTGGTAGAGGTAGGATTTATCTCCCCCCGAAAAGAACTAGGAAACAAAAGGCTGGCATACCGAAAGGGAAATTATGAGGAGATGAGAAGTTTCCTTTGGGATATACCATGGGACGCAGACCTCAGAGCTATGTATGTACAAGACATGATGGACTATGTCACCCAAAAGTGTCAGGAGGTAGCAAACATGTTCAACCCCGCCTATATAGAAAAATCCGAGAAGCAAAAGAAAACTCCATGGTTTAATAGGGCATGTATGGAAGCAACGGAACTGAACAAAAGGGCGTCGAGGAACTTCCGAAATAACTGATTACCAGAAAGCAGAGAGAGATACCAGGGAACCAGGAATGAGTATGCTAGTGTGAGAAGAGATGCAGATAAGAATTATGAAAATGATATAGCAAACAAAGCCAAAACCGAACCGAAGCTACTCCACAGTCACATCAGTAGGAAAAAAACAGTGAAAGGACAGATAATGAAACTTAGAACAGACGAGGCCAGGAATACAGAGAATGACAAAGAGGTGTGTGAAGAACTCAACAAGAGGTTCCAGGAGGTCTTCACAATAAATAAATAAATAAATAAATAATAATAAGAAATATTTATTCAGGTAAAGTACATACATACAAGGTGAAATACAAAAGTTGATGGATAGAACATCATCATCTATTGTCCACAATAGAACAAGGTGAGGTCACTGCCCTAGGACAGGGAGCAGTAAACCAGGAGGCCATGGAAGGGTTAGAAATTATGAGACATGAGGTCAAGCGAAATCTGTTGGATCTGGCCATGAGAAAGGCTGTAGGTCCAGTTGGGTTCTCACCATGGGTATTGAAAGAGTGTGCAGAGACACTGCTTGCCATTCTCCATAGTGTATAGTAGGTCACTGGAGACGGGAAACCTACCACAAATACGGAAGGCGTCTAATGTGGTCCCAATATACAAAAAGAGTGACAGACAAGAGGCACTGAACTACAGGACAATGTCCCTGACATGTATACCATGCAAGGTGATGGAGAAGAGCGTGAGGAAAAAACCTGGTAAAACCTCTGGAGAGAAGGGAATTCGTGACAAATCGCCAACATGCCCAGGAAAAAATTTTAGGTTGCCACAACGTATCTGGAAAGTGTTGGAAAGTATTGGCAACGTTTGTTTTCACGCATTAGATGCGTAATTTTGTGTGGATGGAAATAAGTTTCTAAAACGTATTGCACGAAACGTTGGCTAAAAAATATTTGAAACCTTGTGGCAACCTTAAATGTTTCATAAGCGTAGTTTTTTATTGCTGTTATTTATATAAATGTAGAAATATAAAAGTATATTTCTACATTTAGTAAAATGAAACAGGGTCATAATAAAGGTTAATTCATCAATTTTACTCATATTCTTAGGAAGAGGTCGAGGAGGAAGAGTTCCAGGTAAGAGGATGAGGTCGAGGAGGAAGGAGGAGTAGGGCGAGGAGGAAGGAGGAGGGCGAGGAGGAAGGAAAAGGGAGAAGAGGGAGGAGGAGGAGGAGGGCGAGGAGGCAGGAGTAGGGTGAGGAGGAAGAGGCGAGGAGGAAGGAAGAGGGCGAGGAGGAAGGAGGAGGGCGAGGAGAAAGGAGGAGTAGGGCGAGAAGGAAGAGGGCGAGGAGGAAGGAGGAGGGCAAGGAGGATGGAGGAGGAGGGCGAGGAGAAAGGAGGAGTAGGGCGAGAAGGAAGAGGGCGAGGAGGAAGGAGGAGGGCAAGGAGGATGGAGGAGGAGGGCGAGGAGAAAGGAGGAGTAGGGCGAGAAGGAAGAGGGCGAGGAGGAAGGAGGAGGGCGAGGAGGAAGGAGGAGGGCAAGGAGGATGGAGGAGGAGGGCGAGGAGAAAGGAGGAGTAGGGCGAGAAGGAACAGGGCGAGGAGGAAGGAGGAGGGCAAGGAGGATGGAGAAGGAGAAAGGAGGAGTAGGGCGAGAAGGAAGAGGGCGAGGAGGAAGGAGGAGGGCAAGGAGGATGGAGGAGGAGGGCGAGGAGAAAGGAGGAGGAGGGCGAGGAGGAAGGAGGGCGAGGAGGAAGGAGGGCGAGGAGGAAGGAGGAGGAGGAGGCCGAAGAGGAAGGAGGTGGAGGAGGAAGGAGGAGGTCGAGGAGGAGGGCGAGCAGGAAGCAGGAGGAGGGCGAAAAGGAAGGAGGAGGATGTTAAAGAGGAGGTTAAGGAGAAGAGCCAGGAGAAAGGAGGAGTAGGAGGTCGAAGAGGAAGGAGGAGTTGGTAAGGTAAGAAGGTTGCGGAGGAGGAGGTCGAGGAGGAAGAGGTCAAGGAGGAAGGAGGAAAAATTCCAGGTAGAAGGATGAGGTCGAGGAGGAGGAGATCGAGGAGGATGAGGAGGTCGAGGCAGAGGAGGAAGAGGTCGAGGCAGAGGATGAAAAAGAGGAAGGAGTAGGTCTAAGAGGAAGGAGGAAAGGAGGAGGGGGGAAGGAGCAGGACGTCTGGGGGGGGGGAAGGGGGAATTAGATAATGGAGGAGAAGAGGAGGGGAAGAATAGCAGGGGTAGGAGTAGTACAGGTAAGAGGGGGGGAGGGGGAAGAGGAGGAGGAGTAAGAAGGGGGACGAGAAGGAGGCGGAAGAGGAGGGGGAGAGGGTAGGGGGAAGAGAAGGGGGAGATGAGGAGGAAGGGGAAGAACAGGGGGAGGGGTAAAAGAAGGAAGGGGAGAGCAGGGGGAGGGGTAAGAGAAGGAAGTGGAAGAGCAGAAGGAGGGGTAAGAGAAGGAAGGGGAAGAGCAGGGGGAGGGGTAAGAGAAGGAAGTGGAAGAGCATGTAACGTTTCTATTGTTACGTAAAGTATGGTGACAAATAAACACAGACACTAAGATACTATATATATATTTGGTCGAATATACAGAAGTACACAGGTGATACGCTGGTGTGAGTTGAGCACACTGAGCGTCGGTACAGTATCTCGCAAGTGTCTGCTCTAGACCACACTTGAAAGTAGACTGGTTAATGTTTGATTGATTGATGAAGATTAAGCCACCCAAAAGGTGGCACGGGCATGAATAGCCCGTAAGTGGTGGCCCTTTTAAGCCATTACCAGTATCAAGAGCTGATACTGGAGATCTGTGGAGGTGCGAATGCACCCTGCATGACGGGAGATGTCTCCCTTGTGAATGTGTTAAGATGAAGATGAAGCCACCCAAAAGGTGGCACGGGCATAAATAGCCCGTAAGTGGTGGTCATTTTAAGCCATTACCAGTATCATGAGCAGATACTGGAGATCTGTGGAGGTGCGAATAAACCCTGTATGACGGGAGATGTCTCCCTTGTGAATGTGTTAAGATGAAGATGAAGCCACCCAAAAGGTGGCACAGGCATGAATAGCTCGTAAGTGGTGACCCTTTTGAGCCATCACCAGTATCAATAGATGATACTGGAGATCTGTGGAGGTGCGACTGCACCCTGCGTGACGGGAGATGTCTCCCGGACCAAATGGTGCCGTAGCAGGTTAATGTTTGCTATTCTGCTGCTTATATGCTCGGGCAACACCTCACCGTGTTGCCCGGGCAACACCTCACCGTGTTGCCCGGGCAACGCCTAACCTCATTCATCTTCAAAGGTTGACAGGAATATTAACAAAGCATTTGGAGCGAGTATATTATTGGGATAATCTACTCGCTACAGAACTCCCCCTCCCAGGGGATGAAAGGAAAAATACTTGATCAAGGAACTTAGCTGGTTGGTGAATTGTACGCCCTGCTCGCGTTACATAAGCATCAAAGTTAACTTCCTCCTCTTCGCTGATATCATCTAACTGGGGTCGTAGGGTGGGAGGTCGTACAGGATCGTCTGTCGTCGTAGGATCAGGTTGTGGTGCGGCTGGTAACTGGGGTTGTAAGGTGGACTGCGTAGTCGGCGGACGTGTCTCCGGTTTTAGCAGTGTCGCAGACGTTGAGACGAAGCCTGGAGCAGAGCAGAGAGCTGAGTGAGGCCGGAGTCGTGGAGCTCTATGTGGGAGAGCGTGGCGGCTCGATTGAGAATTGTGAGTGTCTGAACTCGGGGAGCGAGAGAGTGGCGGCTCGATGCGGTCGTAGTCTGCTGTCTGCTCTGTGTTGAAGCTGTAGCGTCTTGGGTTGATTAGGACTGTACACGCCGAGTACTACATTGTTGACTGTGGAAATTGTAGTCTGGTACCAAAAGATGTAGGCAGTGTGTGGACAAGCTCGGTGTAGCAGGAGAGAAGAATGTGCATAATTGTTGCGTCCTTGGGTCGCTGGTGGAGCATTTAGATCCGGGGCGGATGGGCTCGGGCAGCAGGACATTAGGAGGTAATGTAGGCACGTAGTTAGGACAACGAGGTAATCACATCTAGAGCTGAATTGTCCTGAAGGCGACGAAGTGTCTGAAACGCAAGCTGTAAGTCCTGTACTGCGCAAAGGGCTTGAGTCGGCCGAGTATCAAAATGCAGTGAACGTGTAGATGAATCTGATGACAGAGCAGCTGTCGTGGGCGTAGGACAAGCAGTGCCCTGGCAGCGACGGAGAGTCGGCAGGACAAGCTGTAGATCCAACATGATGTAATCATTGATGAGGCTGTCAGATGAGTGAGTAACGATCGTGGAGCAGCAAGCCGTAGTAGATGAAAATGCAGAGATGGACGCGATGAAAATCATAGCTGTGGCGAGGGTGTTGGCAGTGTTCCATCACAGCAAACAGTAGCAGTAGAGGTCCAGTGAGAGTCCATGTTGTAGTCCATCGTGGCTGGGTATCGTCGAAGCTCTCTGGGGTCACCAATGTAACGGTTCTATTGTTACGTAAAGTATGGTGACAAATAAACACAGACACTAAGAGTTCAGTTGTATATAGTCCTGGGGACCATTCAGGCTTGTTTGCACTAAGATATTATATATATATTTGGTCGCATATACAGAAGTACACAGGTGATACTTTGGTGTGAGCTGAGCGCGCTGAGCGTCGGTACAGTATCTCGCAAGTGTCTGCTCTAGACCACACTTGAAAGTAGACTCTGGTTAATGTTTGCTATTCTGCTGCTTATATGCTCGGGCAACACCTCACCGTGTTGCCCGGGCAACGCCTCACCTCATTCATCTTCAAAGGTTGACAGGAATATTAATAAAGCATTTGGAGCGAGTATATTATTGGGATAATCTACTCGCTACAAGCAGAAGGAGGGGTAAGAGAAGGAAGGGGTAGAGCAGAGGGAGGGGTAAGAGAAGGAAGGGGTAGAGCAGAGGGAGGGGGTGATGGTCACTACGCGCGGGTATAAACACTGTCCCACCCGGGTGATGGTCAGCTAGGCTGACCGTCGCCTGGTGGGACCCACACGACAACCGTCGCTGCCTCACCAACCTGCATGTTCACTTAATAATATTAATTTAATTCATTAGTAAAATCAGAGATAAATTAATATAAAACATTATTATCTGATTCTTATTTTTCTTGCTGTATTTGATGAAGATGAACACACCATAGTCATCTACCAAGACATGCCTGTATACTCCAGCGCCCTAACATGTCATGGCAACTCTGTGGGCCTATAGTGTACATGCCCCAGCCGTCACACAGATCCTGTTACACTCCCTCCCCATCTTCCTCTCTTCCCTTGTACCCTCTTCCCCTTCCTCCTTCTCATTCCCTTTCTCTTACCCCTTCCTTCACATCCCCCCTTCTCTTACCCCCTCTCCACTCCTCATCCCCCTTCCCTTACCCCTCCCAGGCCCTGACCTGCGCAGGCCAGGGGCTTAGGGCCCGGGCAGGTCAGGGGCTTAGGGCCCACGCAGGCCAGGGGCTTAGGGCCCGCACAAGCCAGGGGCTTAGGGCCCCGTGCGGGCCAGGGGCCTAGGGCCCACGCAGGCCAGAGGCTTAGGGCCCCCACAGGCCAGAGGCTTAGGGCCCGCGCACGTCAGAGGTTTAGGGCCATGCAGGCCAGAGGTTTAGGGCCTGCGCAGGCCAGAGGTTTAGGGCCTGCGCAGGCCAGAGGTTTAGGGCCCACGCAGGCCAGAGGCTTAGGGCTCACGCAGGCCAGAGGTTTAGGGCCCGCACAGGCCAGAGGCTTAGGGCCCCATGCAGACCAGAGGTTTAGGGCCCGTGCAGGCCAGAGGCTTAGGGCCCATGCAGGCCAGAGGCTTAGGACCCTCACAGGCTAAAGGCTTAAGGCCCGTGCAGGCCAGAGGCTTAGGGCCCGTGCAGGCCAGAGGCTTAGGGCCCACGCAGGCCAGAGGTTTAGGGCCCACGCAGGCCAGAGGTTTAGGGCCCACGCAGGCCAGATGCTTAGGGTCTGCGCAGGCCAGAGGCTAAGGGCCCACACAGGCCAGAGGCTTAGGGCCCGTGCAGGTCAGAGGCTTAGGGCCCATGCAGGAATATCCCTGCAAAAAAAAAAAATACCTAATATAACTGCTCATGAAGTCAAGACTACCTAACATAACAGATGAAGTCAAGACTACCTAATATAACAGATGAAGTCAAGACTGCCTAATATAACTGCTCATGAAGTCAAGGCTATCTAATATAACAGATGAAGTCAAGACTACCTAATATAACTGCTCATGAAGTCAAGACTACCTAATATAACGGCTCATGAAGTCAAGACTACCTAAACTAATGCCAATCCTGACCTTAAAAGCTTCATTGAAGGTTGTAACAGAACCCATGAGCACCACACCAGCAACAAATACCTTTTTGATATTCCTAGAGTACGACTTAATCAAACTAGAAATGCTCTACAAATCAAGGGACCCAGAATGTGGAATGACCTTCCCAACCATGTTAAAGACTGTACCTCTCTCAACCAGTTTAAGATAAAAACTAAACACTACATAATTAACTCCCTGTAACCTACTTTCCCCCTATAATGTCAACCCATGTCTGTTATTTATTTTTTTAAACAATGCTGTTTGTCGACCAAATTGTATTTTTGCTGTTTTTCTGCCATGTTCCCCTTTTTTATTTGTATATTGTCTCAACACATTTTATACTTTAATCTCAATTAGTATTAAGTTTTAGTCTTTAGTGTTTTTCCTGCCAGAAACGCTTTACGTAATAGTGGCTTTAAGCATTGTATGTACTAACTCTATCTATAAATTCATCAATATTTGTATCACCCCTTGTATGTATGTACTTTACCTAAATAAACATTGGATTTTTTTTTTATTTGAATATAAAAGATGAAGTCAAGACTACCTAATATAACAGATGAAGTCAAGACTACCAAATATAACTGCTCATAAAGTCAAGGCTACCTAATATAACTGCTCATGAAGTCAAGGATACCTAAAGTCAGGACTGCCTAATGTAAATGTATGTGTCAGGCAAATATAAATGTCAAAGTCTGTCGAAAACAAATGCTAGCAAGATATATAATCTTCTAGAGTGATATTTACATTTGTCAATCACCAGGCATAAATATTCATGCAACGTACTAGATACTGTACTTGTAATCCATCATGGTAAAAACATATTTTTTTGTAATCGGGTCAATTAAGAATTCTTTAGTTTATATATAATTCTGGGATAAAAAATGAATTTTTTTATTCAATAACAGTGGCTCATCTTAAGGATAATTGAAAAGTTTTTTCTCTTTTTTTGACCATATAATTAATAAAATACTTAAGTGAACTTTAAATTTTATTAAAATACTTACTAAACTGAAAATTTTAATATACTTACTGAACTTAAAATTTTAATAAAATACTTACTGAATTGAAAATTAACTTAACCTATATACCAGAAATCACGATACATTTTATAATATGTAATATTTCTTAAATGTTTTTACATTAAATATTTATTTTAATTAATAGGTAAAATAACATGTTTCAAACTTTGTACATTTTATTCTGTAAAACAAAATAAAGCAAAAAATATAAATTATTTAACTGGCAGCCTCCCAGGTGCCTCCTTTCTCTATGAGGATGATTATAATGTCTAAACTAGCGGCTTTCTTGGTGTTCAATTATTCTAAGAAGTGTGTAAATAATTTTCTACATGAGAACTAAAGGTCAAACCAAACCTAAATAAATTATAACATGTTTCCAAGCTTTACCTTAAGTGGCAAAATATATTTTCGTACGAGCCTGAAAAAATCCACATATAGGATGTCCAGCTGACAGGGTGACAACAACATTTTCAAGATGAAGCTCACAATTACCAAACTGTATATTGGATTAATAGGAAGTTAATATCCTGATGTACATCTCGTGCAACACTGTCAAAATATATGACAATTGAAAGATTTATCCAACATGCACACCTTCAGGTACATTTTAACCTTAATTTGGTTAATGTGAACTTTCTCTAATGAAAACAGAATAAGACAATAAAGTCTTATTATCCTTCATGCCTAAATAGGTCCCTTAAAGTACTATTGTGGTAATTACATCGTTTGCCACCCTATGGTCATTCATGTAGTTTATTCCCCATATGCACAATCATGTCTCTTCAGATTTTGAAGATGAATAAATATTTCCCCACAATCCAGACATTAAACATTTGCTCAGTGCAATGTTAGCAATAATGCTGCAGTGTTCTCTGAATCTTCTACACTCGGAACACTCCAAAGGCTTTTGACTCACATCGCTATTACTATGACCCTCCGTAGCTTCAAGGCTACTAATTTTTTTTCCACAATTTGAACACTCGTGAAGTTTCTCCTCCGTGTGTGCCATCATATGCTTCTTCATGTCTCCAAGACGAATGAATTTTTCCCCACACTCTGGACACTGGCGAGCTTTTTTACCTGTATGTAACATCCGGTGAGTCTTCATACTTCCAAGTTGACTAAATCTTTTCCCACACTCTGGACATTCATGTGGTTTCTCACCTGAATGCACTAACATGTGTATCCTCATGTTACCATAAAGACGGAATGTTTTGTCACACACTGTACACTTGTGAGGCTTCTCCCCAGTATGCATCATCCTATGTGTTTTCATATCTCGAAGGCAAATGAATCTTTTCCCACACTCTGGACACTCATGAGCCTTCTCCCCCGTATGCACCATCCTGTGTGTCTTCATATTTTCAGGGCGGGTGAATCTTTTCCCACACTCTGGACACTCATGAGGTTTCTCCCCAGTATGCACCATAACATGTTTTTTCATGTCTCCATGACGACTGAATTTTTTTCCACACTCTGGACACTCGTGAGGTTTTTCACCTGTATGCATGATTAAGTGCTTCTTCATGTCTCCATGATGAGTAAATGTCTTCCCACACTCCGTACATTGGTGAGGTCTTTCCTCAGTATGCTCCATCATATGTTTCTTCATATTTCCAAGGCGACTGAAACTTTTCCCACACTCTGGACATTGGTGAGGTTTTTCACCTGTATGCACTGTCACATGCTTCTTCATGTCTCCAAGATGATTGAATGTTTTCTCACACACTGGACACTGGTGAGGTTTCATCTTGACGATCGTTAAGTTGGTGATGGTTATATCCTCCAAATGACTGCAGTTGTCTTGTGACGTGAGGTGTCTCCTGGAGACACAACACACAGTCCTCTCCAGGTGGAGGAGAAGCCTGAACACAGTAGGTGTCTTACTGTCCCTTCCTGGTGGAGTAGGAGCCTGGACACTGGAGGCGGCGGCTTACTCTCCCCTCCTGGTGGTGGAGTAGTAGTCCGGACATTAAAGGAGGTGTCTTGCTGTCCCCGTCCGGTGTGTTCGTGTGTCAGCAGCCGCTGAAGCACCGACCACAGAGACAGTGGCTCCGGCCGCCAGCCATTTTATGTCCCAAGTGACGTGGAACAATAACATTGAGGCGTCGCGCCGATAATGGCGTCCTCGGCCCCAGTTTATACTCTCCTCTTCTCAACTACTGCACGTAAATTACACAGTATATTCTTAGAATCATTATTCAAGACGCAGTTATTTTATTAATAAAAATTATGTCTATGTTGCTACTATTTTAAGTGTAATGTGTTATATTCAAGACCACTGACGTTCCTGAAGCACAAGCGTTCGGCTGACGCAGCGCAGACAATCTGGATTCAAACTTGTTTTTATCGTTTTATTAATTTTTAATTATTATTATTATGAGTATTTATATATACAGGAGTTCTTACATTCCTGTAAGAACTTGCTCTGTTCTTGCAAGAATATCTTGTTCTTGCTCTTCTTCTTATATAAGAAGAAGAAGAATAAGAATAAGGCGAATAGAGGCATTAGGTGATAGGAAGTGAGCCCAACCATTTCTGTCCCGCCCGGGATTTGAGCTCAGAATTCTTGATTACGAGTACAGAACGAACTCGACTGTACTACCAGGACCCAATTAAATACTACCTGAATTTACCTTAGGGCCACTACTCTCTAGTGGCCTCGACAAGGAGAGAAAGACTGGAACGTGTTGGTTCCCCCCCCCCCCTTTTTCTGATTATTTTTTCAGGTTTTATTTAAAAATTCAATAGAGTTTTAACATTTACCTCTTGGGCGGGTAGGCGGTTCCATGGGTTTATAGCCCTGTGGGTAAAAAGCATCACCTGTTCTCTCTCCTACACTGTGGCTTGTTGAGCTTGACACCGTTGCTCCTTGTTCGTGTAACATCTGACCGGGTCAATATCCTCCAAATTGTTCAATATATTAAAAGCTTCATCAACTTTCATCTACCACAAAACCGAACACTTTCTCCTCCTTTATTTGGTCGGTCTCGAACTAAATGTTGATACAACAATATACATTAAATTTTGCCAATAGTTTAGCTAAACAAATTAAACAAAAATAAAATTCAAATCAAAATTCAAATGTTTATTCAGGTAAAGTACATACATACAAGGGGTGATACAAATATTGATGAATTTATAGATAGGGCTAGTACATACAATGCCTAAAGCCACTATTATGCAAAGTGTTTCGGGCAGGAAAAACACTAAAGACTAAAACTTAATACTAATTGAGTATAAAGAATAAAATGTGTTGAGAACAAATAAAAATAGAGATAAAAAAGGGAGGAACATGGATGAAAAAGCAGCACAAATACAATTAGGTAGACAAACAGCGTTGTTTAAGAAAAACATACATGGGTTGACAACAGAAGGGTAAGGTAGGTTACAGGGAATTTATTAGGTAGTGTTTAGTTTTTATCTTAAACTGGTTGAGAGAGGTACAGTCTTTAACATGGTTGGGAAGGTCATTCCACATTCTGGGTCCCTTGATTTGTAGAGCATTTCTAGTTTAAGTCGAACTCTTGGAATAACAAAACTGTATTTATTTCTGGTGTGGTGCTCATGGGTTCTGTTACAACCTTCAATGAAGCTTTTGAGGTCAGGATTGGCATTACAGTTCAGCGTTTTATATATGTATAATACACATGAGAGAATGTGCTGTGACTTAATATCTAACATATTCAGAGATTTGAGAAGGGGTACCGAGTGATGTCTGGGGCCAGAGTTGGATATTGTCCTAATAGCAGCTTTGTGTTGAGTAATTAGAGGACGTAAATGATTTTTGGTAGTAGAACCCCAAGCACAAATACCATAGTTGAGATAAGGATAGATGAGGGAGTAATAGAGAGTAACCAGGGCAGGGCGTGGTACATAATATCTGATCTTAGAAAGAATGCCAACAGTTTTTGAAACTTTTTTTGATATATTTAGAATGTGTCCCGGGAAACTCAGCTAGTGGTCAATGAGAACGCCAAGGAATTTGCCATCTAATTTGTTACAAATTTGGGTATTGTTTATTTTGAGATTTATTTGATTAGAGGATTTATTGCCAAACAGAATATAGAAAGTTTTGTCAATGTTAAGGGTGAGTTTGTTGGCAGTTAGCCACAGATGGACTTTATTTAGCTCAGTATTTACTGTGGCATTTAGAGCAAGGGGATCAGGACTGGAGTAAATGAAGGTTGTGTCGTCAGCAAATAGAATTGGTTTGAGGTGTTGGGAGGCATTTGGAAGGTCATTAATGTAGATGAGAAAGAGGAGAGGGCCAAGTATGCTGCCCTGAGGAACATCAATGTTGATGGGTAGGGTGGGAGAAATTGTATTATTCACAGAAACATACTGTAGCTTGTCAGTAAGGTAGGATTTGAGGTATTGTAAGGAGTGTCCTCTGACTCCATAATGATGTAATTTAAGAAGAAGGTTTTGGTGGTTGACAGTATCAAAAGCTTTACGCAGGTCCACAAATAACCCAACAGGGAACTCATATTTATCAAGAGCTGCATGAATCGAGTTAAGCATACTAATAAGTGCATCGTTAGTGCTTTTTTGGGTCTGATAAGATGTGTATGGGGGTTCACTACCGCCCACAGGATGGGTATGGGGTCCACTACCACCCACAGGATGGGTATGGGGTCCACTACCCCCCACAGTATGGGTATGGGGTCCATTACCATCTAGAGGATGTGTATGGGGGCCACTGCCGCCCACCGGATGGGTATGGGGTCCACTACCACCCACAGGATGGATATGGGGTCTACTACCACCCACAGTATGGGTATAGGGTCTTCTACCGCCCACAGGATGGGTATGGTGTTCACTACCACCCACAGGATGAGTATGGGGTCCATTAACACCCAAAGGATGGGTATGGGGTCTATTACCTCTCACAGAATGGGTATGGGGTCCACTACCACCCACAGGATGGGTATGGGGTCCACTACCACCCACAGGACGGGTGTGGAGTCCACTACCACCCACAGGATGGGTATGGGGTCCACTACGCCCACAGGATGGCTATGGGGTCCACTACCACCCACAGGATGGGTATGGGATCCACTTCCACCCACAGGATGGGTATAGGGTCCATTACACCTCACAGGATGGGTTTGGGGTCCACTACCACCCACAGGACGGGTGTGGAGTCCACTACCACCCACAGGATGGGTATGGGGTCCACTACGCCCACAGGATGGGTATGGGGTCCACTCCCACCCACAGGATGGGTATGGGGTCCACTACCACCCACAGGAAGGGTGTGGAGTCCACTACCACCCACAGGATGGGTATGGGATCCACTTCCACCCACAGGATGGGTATGGGGTCCACTACACCTCACAGGATGGGTTTGGGGTCCACTACCACCCACAGAATGGGTATGGGGTCCACTACCACCCACAGCATGGGTATGGGGTCCACTACCGCCCACAGGATGGGTATGGGGGGGTTCACTACCGCCCGCAGGATGGGTATGGGGTCCACTACCACCCACAGTATGGGTATGGTGTCCATTACCATCTAGAGGATGGGTATGGGGTCCACTACCACCCATAGGATGGGTAAGGGGTCCACTACCACCCACAGTATGGGTATGGTGTCCATTACCATCTAGAGGATGGGTATGGGGTCCACTACCACCCACAGGATGGGTATGGGGTCTACTACCCCTCACAGGATGGGTAATGGGTTCACTACCACCCACATGATAGGTATGGGGTCCACTACCGCCCACAGGATGGGTATGGGGTCCACTACCACCCACAGGATGGGTATGGAGGTCCACTACCGGCCATAGGATGGGTATGGTGTCCACTACCGCCCACAGGATGGGTATGGGGTCCACTACCGCCCACAGGATGGGTATGGGGTCCAGTACCACCCACAGGATGGGTATGGGGTCCACTACCGCCCACAGGATGGGTATGGGGTCCACTACCACCCACAGGATGGGTATGGGGTCCACTTCCACCCACAGGATGGGTATGGGGTCCACTACCACCCACAGGATGGGTATGGGGTCCACTACCACCCACAGCATGGGTATGGGGTCCACTACCGCCCACAGGATGGGTATGGGGGTTCACTACCGCTCACAGGATGGGTATGGGGTCCACTACCACCCACAGGATGGGTATGGTGTCCACTACCACCCACAGGATGGGAATTGTGTCCACTACCACCTACAGAATTGGTATGGGGTCCACTACCACCCACAGTATGGGTATGGGGTCCATTACCATCTAGAGGATGGGTATGGGGTCCACTGCCGCCCACAGGATGGGTATGGGGTCCACTACCACCCACAGGATGGGTATGGGGTCCACTACCACCCACAGTATGGGTATGGGGTCTTCTACCGCCCACAGGATGGGTATAGGGTTCACTACCACCCACATGATGAGTATGGGGTCCATTAACACTCACAGGATGGATATGGGGTCTACTACCCCTCACAGGATGGGTAATGGGTTCACTACCACCCACATGATGGGTATTGGGTCCACTACCACCCACAGGATGGGTATGGGGTCCACTACCACCCACAGGACGGGTTTGGGGTCCACTACCACCCACAGGATGGGTATGGGGTCCACTACCGCCCACAGGATGGGTATGGGGTCCATTACCCCTCACAGGATGTGTATGGGGTCCACTACCACCCACAGGATGGGTATGGGATCCACTACCGCCCACAGGATGGGTATGGGATCCACTACCGCCCACAGGATTGAACATTATATATGTTAACTTCTTTAAAATTAAGTAGCAACCTTGACTTGGACAGCGTTCGAGATTCGTTGTCCTAAGGTTCTGGGTTCGATCCCAGGCGTAGGCGGAAACAAATGGGCAGAGTGTCTTACACCCTGATGCACCTGTTCACCTAGCCGTAAATAAGTACCTTGGAGTTAGACAGGTGCTACGGCCTGTTTTCTGTTGATGTGTAACAAAAAGGAGGCCTGGTCGAGAACCGGGCCGCGGGGACGCTAAGCCCCGAAATCATCTCAAGATAACCTTAGCATAACAGAAAGTACAAGGAAGACAGGACACCATGAGAGAAGTTAAGTACTCTGTAAGTACACTTGGGGAAGTTATACTGTTACGGCAATCTCTGCTTAGCAGTAGATCCTGCCTGTCCCTTTACGCCTATATTCACCAACGAATTTAGTCTCCGTGGTGTAGTGGTAAGACACTCGCCTGGCGTTCCGCGAGCGCTAAGTCATGGGTTCGTATCCTGGCCGGGGAGGATTTTTTTTTTTTTTTTTTTTTTTTTTTTTTTTTTTTTTCATCTGAAACATCTGAAGATCTGAAGATCTGATCTGAAGATCTGAAGATTTACTGGGCGCAATTCCTTAACTGTAGTCTCTGTTTAACGCAACAGTAAAATGTGTACTTGGATGAAAACACGATTCTTCGCGGCGGGGATCGTATTCCAGGGACCTGCCCGAAACGCTACGCGTACTAGTGGCTGTACAAGAATGTAACAACTCTTGTATACATCTCAAAAAAAAAAAAAAAAAAAAAAAAAATCAAATGAATTAAAAACAGACTTGAATCCAGATTGTCTGCACTACGTCAACCGAACGCTTGTGCTTCAGGAACGTTAGTGATCTTGAATATAATACATTACACTTAAAATAGCAGCAAAATAAACATAGATTTTGTTTTTAAAATAATTGTGTCTTGAGTAATGACTCTAAGAATATACTGTGTAATTTACGTACAGTAGTTGAGAAGAGGATGGTATAAACTGAGGCCGAGGACGCCATTATCGGCGCGACACCTCAATGTTATTGTTCCACGTCACTTGGGACACAAAATGGCTGGCGGCCGGAGCCACTGTCTCTGTGGTCGGTGCTTCAGCGGCTGCTGACACACGAACACACCGGACGGGGACAGCAAGACACCTCCTCCAGTGTTCAGGCTCCTACTCCACCACCAGGAGGGGAGAGTAAGCCGCTGCCTCCAGTGTCCAGGCTCCTACTCCACCAGGAAGGGACAGTAAGACACCTACTGTGTCCGAGCTTCTCCACTAGGACTGGCTGACACTGCTCTCAACTCAAGGATAAGACAACACCCAAGCTTCTTCATCCTACCCAGCGGCAGTTTTGTCTGTCCGAGAGATGCACCACGTTCAAGTATATCTACTGTAGTCATCAGAAGATAATCTTCTAAAATTTGCTAATCTTATAGAAGATGAAACCTCACCAGTGTCCAGAGTGTGAGAAACAATTTCGTCATCTTGGAGACATGAAGAAGCATATGACAGTGCATACAGGTGATAAACCTCACCAGTGTCCAGAGTGTGGGAAAAGTTTCAGTCGCCTTGGAAATATGAAGATGCACATGATGAAGCATACGGAGGAAAGACCTCATGAGTGTCCAGAGTGTGGGAAAACATTCTGTCATCTTGGAGACATGAAGAAGCACTTAATCATGCATACAAGTGAAAAATCTCATGAATGTCCAGTGTGTGGGAAAAAATTCAGTCGTCTTGGAGACATGAAGAAACATGTGATGGTGCATACTGGGGAGAAACCTTACGAGTGTCCTGAGTGTGGGAAAAGATTCACTCGTCTTGAAAGTATGAAGTCCCACAGGCTGGCACATTCAGGGGAGAAACCTCACGAGTGTTCAGAGTGTGGTAAAAGATTTAGTCGTCTTGAAAGTTTAAAGACCCACAGGATGGTGCATACTGGGGAGAAGCCTCATAAGTGTCCAGAGTGTGGGAGAAGATTTAATTCTATTCGAAATATGAAGACACACAGATTAGTGCATACAGGGGAAAAGGCTTACGAGTGTCCAGAGTGTGGGAAAAGATTCAGTTCTCTTCGAAATATGCAAAGACACACGATGGTGCACACTGGCGACAAGCCTCAAAAGTGTCCAGAATGTGGGAAAATGTTTAATCTTCTTAGTAATTTGAAGATACACATGGCAGTGCATTCAGGTGAAAAACCACACAAATGTCCAGAGTGTGGGAAAAGATTCAGTCAACTTGGAAGTATGAAGACTCACAGGATGTTACATACAGGTGAAAAATCTCACCAGTGTCCAGAGTGTGGTGAAAAATTCAGTCGCCTTGGAGACATGAAGAGGCATATGATGACGCATGTGGAGGAGAAGCCTCACGAGTGTACAAAGTGTGGAAAAAGATTTAGTATTCTTGAAGGTACTGTAGCTCATAGTAGCACTGATGCAAATCAAAAGCCTTTAGAGTGTTCCGAGTGTAGAGGATTCAGAGAACACTGCAGCATTATTGCTAACATAGCACTGAGCAAATGTTTAATGTCTGGATTGTGGGGAAATATTCATTCATCTTCAGAATGTGAAGACACACATGATGGTGCATACGGTGAATAAACCTCATGAATGTCTACTACATGGTAAACGATTTAATCACCATAGAAGTTTTACAAGGCACATATTAGTGCATTCGGGTAATAAGCCTCACTATTCATATTGTTATAATAGTATAAGAAAGTTCATTGTAACCAAATTAATGTTAAAATGCCCCTGATGGTGTGTATGTTGGATAAATCTTTCGAGTGTCATTAATTTTGGTAGTATTGCGTTTAGATGTACATCAGGACATTAACTTCCATTAATCTAGCTGAATGTTCTACAAAGGTATTTTTGTCTTCATGGTCTCGTATAAAAATATTGTTTGCCAGTCTACTCTTAGAACACTTCTGTTCTAAGCTTGAAAGCATGTTATAATTTAGTTTTTTTTTGCTTATCTTCTGTTCATGTGTAGATCTCCAATGTACCTCTTAATTACCTTGGTGCCTTCTTTTGATAATTACTTGCCTCTTAAAGGCAAATTTAACATCGGAGAAACTTGCGGTGTGTAAGTGATGTGCTCCACGTAGACCAAACAAGCACCATGGAGGCTGCCAGTTGTAAATATTCCTCAGTGTCAATAGTTTTGTTTTCCAGAATAAAATATACAAAAAATTTAACAAAATGTTATTTTACCTATTTAGTTGAATAATAGTAAATGCTATTGATATATTTCAGACTAGGCAATATTTCTTATGGTCTCTGGTAGCTAGGTTAAGACAATTTTCTGTTCATTAAGCTTTTCATTAAACATTTGTCAACGAGGAAAATATTGAGATTAAAAGACGACCTGATTTTATTGAATAATGAGATATAATTTGCTTCCTGGAGTTATAAACTTCAGAATTCTTACTCCAACAGATTTTAAATAATTTTTTTTACAATGATGCATGGTAACTAAAATGACTTCTCAAATACATGGTGCAGGTGACCATGGGCAAACGTCGGAGAGTAATGAAAGATTGGGCACCATAGCCCTGGCTACAATGGGTCCAGACCAGGCTTCATCTTTGACTATTCCAGGTGAGCCTCTCCATTTCTTTTTTACTTTTGTGGGGTTGAGCCCCAAACCCCTAATGGTGACTACCTCGTTATCTTCTTGAGGTTATCTTGAGATGATTTCGGGGCTTTTAGTGTCCCCGTGGCCCGGTCCTTGACCAGGCCTCCACCCCCAGGAAGCAGCCCGTGACAGCTGACTAACACCCAGGTACCTATTTTACTGCTAGGTAATGGGCATAGAGTGAAAGAAACTCTGCCCATTGTTTCTCGCCGGCGCCTGGGATCGAACCCGGGACCACAGGATCACAAGTCCAGCGTGCTGTCAGCTCGGCCGACCGGCTCCCTCCCGGCTCTCCCTCGTCACCTGGATTGGTTCCTATCTTTCACTGTGACAGCTATGCCTTTTACCCCCTTCCTTAATGATGGGGAAGAGGAGAGCACAGTGCCATCATCACACTCGCTCATGATTCCTTCAAACACTGCTACATTCCATTGTCTGGTTTGGCCCCAGTATGTGACCTAAGCACTATTTTGATATTTGTTATGATGAACATAGCTGCCTTACCTGAACTCTACCTGCTTGATACTTGCTTGATTGGGTTCTGGGAGTTGTTCTACTCCCCACTTGTGAGAGTTTGGTCCAATAGGCTGTTGCTTGGAGTGGACCACAGGCCTACATATCCACCACAGCCCGGTTGGTCCAGGACTCCTTGGAGAAAATTATCTAGATTTCTCTGGACGATGTCCACTGCTCTGGCAATATACTCGCTGGGAGGATGTTGAACAACCATGGACCTCTGATGTTTATACAGTGTTCTCTGATTGTGCCTATGGCACCCCTGCTCTACACTGGTTCTATTCTGCATTTTCTTCTATATCGTTCACTCCAGTATGTTATTTTACTGTGTAGATTTGGGACCTGGCCCTCCAGTATTGTATCTTCCAAGTGTATATTACTGTATTTGATAGTTCTCCCGTCTCCTTTCTAGTGAGCACATTTGGAGAGCTTTGAGAATATCGCAATAATTTTGGTGCTTTATTGCGTCTATGTATGCTGTATATGTTCTCTGTATTCCTTCTATTTCAGTAATCTCTCCTGCTCTGAAGGGGGAAGCGAGTACTGAGCAGTACTCAAGACGGGACAGTAAAAGTGATTTGTATAGTACAACCACTGTGATGGGATTCCAGGATTTGAAAGTTCTCGTAATCCATCCGATCATTTTTCTGGCAGACGCAATATTTGCTTGGTTATGCTCCCTAAACGTTAGGTCGTCAGACATCATTATTCCCAAATCCTTTATATGCTGCTTTCCTATTAGTGTATGGGGAGATTTGATTGTGTTTTGTACCCTGTATTATGTTTAAGGTCCTCATTTTTACCATACCTGAGTACCTGGAATTTATCACTCTTAAACATCATGTTATTTTCTATTGGCCAGTCAAAAACTTTATTAACATCTGCTTGAAGTTTTTCAATGTCTTCAGCAGAGGTAATTTTCATGCTGATTTTTGTGTCATCTGCAAAGGATGATATTAAGCTGTGACTTGTATTTTTGTCTATATCTGATATGAGAATAATGAAAAGCAGTGGTGCAAGGACTCTACCCTGAGGTAGAGAGCTTATAACTGCGCTTGGACTTGATTTTATATGGTTGACTGGGAGTTCTACTCCCCTAGCCCAGCTCGAGGCCAGGCTTGACTTGGGAGAGCTTGGTTCAACAGGCTGTTGCTTAGAGCGGCCCGCAGGCCGCCATGATAATTTACATGTACATAAGGACTGTGTTGACTCTATAGATACCTCTTACTTTTAACCCCACCCAGACTTTCATGGGGCAGCCACCTGCCTAGTTGCTTTGTCCAATTAAATGCCAACATCGCCTTGTGAATAATTTTTATTCACAAAAAGGTACAATGGGTTTATGAGATTACATAAGATTGGTACATATTTTTACATTCTTGCAAAGCCACTAACATGCATAGCATTTTGGGCAAGTCCTTAATCTAACAACAAGCAAGATGAAAAGGTACATTGTATAAAATTTTATATCAATATATAACAGCAATATAAATTGACACTGGTGAAGATATGTCTTGAGTACTAATATTGGGGAAGTGGGTAGCACAAAATATAGTCTTGAGTTTGAAGCACAAGGTACAAAACTATGGGGATGAAATTTGGTACTTTTTTGTTTTCCTTTTGAATAAGGCATAGATTGGACAATTTTTGAATTCATTAGGGAGCGAGTGCCATAGACTGGGTCCTTTTATATGTCTGAAATGTCTGCACAGATTTAGTTTGACTCTTGAGGTTATCTTGAGATGATTTCGGGGCTTTTAGTGTCCCTGCGGCCCGGTCCTCGACCAGGCCTCCACCCCCAGGAAGCAGCCCGTGACAGCTGACTAACACCCAGGTACCTATTTTACTGCTAGGTAACAGGGGCATAGGGTGAAAGAAACTCTGCCCATTGTTTCTCGCCGGCGCCTGGGATCGAACCCAGGACCACAGGATCACAAGTCCAGCGTGTTGTCCGCTCGGCCGACCAGCTCCCTCAGGTGCTATCAAAAGTGAAAGATACTCTGCCCATTGTTTCTCGCCGGCGCCTGGGATCGAACCCAGGACCACAGGATCACAAGTCCAGCGTGCTGTCCGCTCGGCCGACCGGCTCCCTCTGGTGATATCAAAGAGATATTCATTTCTGGTGTGGTGCTCATGGGTTCTATTACACCTATTAAAGACAAGTTTCAGATTTCAGTATTTAGGAACTAGGTTTTGTACATGTAAATTGCCAAAGTGAATGTGGAGTGTGTCTTGCATGTTATGGGATTTGAACATGATGTATGTTCTTTGAAGACAGAGTTTTGTTATAGTTCTGATAGCAGATTTTTGCTGGGTAATGATGGGCTTGAGGTAATTTGCAGTGGTTGAACCCCATGCACAGATACCATATGTAAGATAGGGATAGATTAGTGCATAGTATAATGAGAGGAGAGCAGAGTGGGGAACACACTGTCTGATATAAGAAAGTATACTGACCGTTTTTGAGATTTTCTTGGCTGTTTTGTATGTGGGTGCTGAAGTTCAGTCTCTTGTCTATGTACTGTATATGCTGCTAAGATGCTGCCACAGGGCAGCATCTTAGGACCTCTTCTATTTCTTATATATATCAATGATCTGCCTAATGTCTCTAATATTCTTAAACCTATATTGTTTGCTGATGATACTACCCTCATCTATTCAGACCCCAACCCACATACACTAAATAATGTTGTGAATAATGAATTAAAAAAAGTCCACTTATGGATGTCAACTAACAAACTAACACTAAAACATAGAAAAGACCTACTACATCTTATATGGAAGCAAATCATCGAATGCAATGCAGCTAACTGATCTGATGATGAGATCAGTGGGGGAAGTAAGGGCCAAGGAAGAAGAGTCGTTTCTGAATGTAAAGTCGATGAATCTGTTGACCATGTTGATTTATTTTGTTATGATGGAATGGGTGATGTTGTGCATTGAGGTCCGCCATCAGAATGACAGGTTTGTAAGTGTGGTTGATGAGAATAATGATGTCTTGCCTTGGGATGCCAGTGTTTGGGCGGTGTAGGTTGTGCACATGATGAGAGGACCCATGTGTGTGTGTGTGTGTGTGTGTGTAGGGTTTTATGCTCATGAAGTGTTTGTGAATCAAAGGTGCTTGTATTCATCTAGTTGTGCTTGCGGTGGTTAAACATTGGCTCGTTCGGTCCGCCTCTCAACTGTTAATCACTCAACTGATTCTTTTCTTTCACACACACACACCCAAGGAAGCAGCCCGTAGCAGTTTTCTAACTCCTAGGAACCTATTAACTGCTAGGTGAACAGTGAGCATCAAGGTGAAAGAAACTCTGAACATTTGTTTCCGCCTCCACTACATGGCTGGTGAGCTACATGGTTGGTGAGCTACATGGTTGGTGAGCTACATGGCTGGTGAGCTACATGGTTGGTGAGCTATATGTATGTGTGTATGTATGTATTCCCA